TATAGCAGTCTCCTTGTTGTATTAAAGATTTTTTTACTTTATTAGAAATTGTTATAACATACCTACGTACCACAATACGCGATTATTAAAAAGTCAATTTTAGATATAAGTTTGGAAGGGACACGACCAGGGCAGCCATCTATTTTACGGGTCATATGAGTAGTGCCACCTGCAGCAATTGTTGCAAACGAATCAGCATTGGATCTATAGTGCTATCGTTATGAAAATTTTGACCCTGCATATTGCTCATATTAAACATTGGTAGCGTTACCAGGGCTTCAGACACTATAGTCGGCTATTCAATAATTGTCATTCTTATCTGTATTATATATAATACTATTGATTTTGATGAATTAAAAATGGCATTTCAAACAATTACCTCTGGCACAGTAAATGACCGACATATTAATATAAAATCGATGGCTGCCCTGGTCATGTTTTTGGAAGGGATGCTTTAAAAATTTTATCAAATACGCATTAGGCGGTATCCACAACCTACATTAAATCAGTATTGTTATAAGAATCCTAATGACAATACAAACATAATACTATATAGCATTACCTTCAAGGCCCCTATTCTTATACAACGCACTATTGGTTTAACGCAAATTGTGGATTAGAGTGTCTAGGGTACTGCGATGCATAATTCTGCTCACGCTAAAAATACTTTTTTACATTGTAATTTGATTTAGAAAGTGATTTAAATCACAGGTCTCTTATGGGAACAATATAAAAAATTATTTTTAGCGTGAGCAGAATTATGCACTGCAGTACCCTGGACACTCTATTGTAGATATCGCCTTAAAAATTAACCAGGGTGGCCTCAAAGTGCCAGTGACATAAGATCAATTAGTGCAACTTATTGGTTCTCTTCTAGCTGCATATTGTAAATCACTATTTTTTTAGATAGCAATTGTACATAATTTCAATGAATCGGCCAGAGCAGCCTCTCCAAAGTGCAGTTATACAAACCAATATAATATAAAACTACAATCGACAAGTTATTGATATCAATATCGATAACTTGCTTGATTGTAATATGGGTTTGTGCAACTGCACTTTGGGGAGGCCGCCCTGGCCGATTTTAATTTGATATTGCAATACATATATACACTGTGGCTGTACCATGATTACGTTACTGGAATTTTTGAGGGGCCACCCTGGCTTTCTAATAGCAATTTCTACAACGTATTCGCTTCCAAATTTATGTCAACAAGAAGAAATTGATATTATTAGCATATTAACATGCTTCTAGATTAGAATAACAAGTATTTTTTTTTAATTATACTTAGCTAATTTAGGCATATTAAGAGGCGCTTGTATAAGATTCTTGTTTAAATGTAATAAACAACCAATTGTTAATAAAATTTTAACAAGATTATAAAATAATAAAGAACTTTTAAAAATTATATAAGACCACATACATTACCTTTCAAAATTATAAATTTTATCGAACTTCCAATAACACATTCTAAGTCTTCAATTATTTACCATGTCTACAATGCCTTACACAATTACTGATTCTTCTGAGGAAGATGTCCAACATACTTTACAAAAAACTGAAAAGCTTATCCAACCTAATAACCTTCGATTAAAAAAGAAAAAACTTGCACCAGTTCACGAATATCTTGATGAGCTTAGTGACGATCTTGAAACATTCAAGCTCTGTAAGATATGTAATAATAAATGGGCAGAAGGCATATCAATTTCAACAGTAACAAGTTATTTTAAAATAAAACATCCACTAATCTATAAAGATTTTTCGAAAACTCCAAAGCCTTCTTTTTATTCAACTAGTGAACAGCCTCGTATTAATTCTTTGAACTATGACTTGTTGCATTGGATTGTTATTAGCCAGCAACCATTTTCAGTAGTTGAAGAGGAATCGTTTATAAAATTTTGCTCCAATCTTGATTCACGTTACAAGCTTCCTTGCCATCAAACATTATCTACAAATATAAAAAAACAATTTGAATTAGCAAAAATAAAAATTAAGGAGACTCTAAAGGCTAGCCCAAATAAATTAGCACTTACTTTGGATGTTTGGACAGCATGCAATCAGCAATCTTTTCTCGGAATTATGATCCATTGAATTGATGCTGAATAGACGGCATAAGCTCTTCTTCTTGATTTCATTCCTCTTCATGATGCCTATACAGGAGAATACCTTGGAGAAAAAATTCTTGAAGTTATTAAAGCTCTGGAGATTGAAGAACAGGTAATTGGCTTTACTAGTGATAATGCGGGAAATAATTTGACATGTCTACATTTTCTTCAAAGATCTATAAATCCAAAACTTGAGCATGTACATTGTGCAGCTCATATTATTAATATTGTAGTTAAAGCAGGTCAAAAAATATATCTTTGCCAGATTCAGAAGGCCTGATATTTTTGTAATAAAATAAAATCGCTTACACATTTAGAGAAAATATCTGCTATTTTAGATTGTCAATTTCTCCATCCAGTAACTGATGTTGAGACAAGGTGAAATTCTACCTATTTGATGCTTGAAAGACTTATTGATATTCGTAATGTTACCGATAGCCTCGTACAATCTCGTCCAAATTTAAAAGATAATTATTTGGAAGCTGACGATTGGAAAATTATTGAAAAAATGATGAAACTTCTCAAACCTTTTTATACAGCAACTTTGATCCTTTCAGATGCTTCGCAACCCTCACATGGATCTTTACGATTAATTATTCAGGGACTTTTAAATCACCTTAATAATTCCATTTTTAGTATATATAGTGAAACAATTAAAGAAATGAAAAACAAACTAAATGAATATTGGATTTATCTTAATAAATCTTCTGCCATTCCTGGTATTCTCGATCTATCGACTAAGTCTGAAGCATTTTATGAAACTGACCGTATATTAGCTATTAATCAATTAGAAGATTATTATTCATTATATAAAAAAGATAAATCAGAATCAATCATCAAAATTAAAGATCCATTAGAAACCTTTAGAAAACTAATGCAAGTACAAAGTGATATACACAGAGAAACTGTAGCAAACACAGAGGATGAGTTAGTGGCATACTTAGCTTTTTCTTGTGAACCAGGTATAAATCCACTACTGTGGTAGAAAACTAATGCTTAATATTTTCCAACTATAGCCTGCATTGCAGCAGACTACTTTGCCTTACAGGTTACAAGTATTCCTTGTGAGCATGCTTTTTCTATTGCCAAGAATACTATAAATTCTGCTAGAACTAATCTTCTTGAGGATACAGTTAGAGCTTCTTTAGGCCTAAAAAGTTGGATTGAGGAGGGAGTTATTGAATAAAAAAAAATATATAGTTCTGTATATTGTATATAGTTTATTTTATCATTATTATAATAAAATTTATAAAATCTAGAGAATCAGTCATATGATTTTTTTGAGTCATTTAGAAGTCGACTAAGTTGACCTTTGTATTATACCAAGTCGACTTGAGTTTACTCAAGTTTTTTAATACCCTACATAAGACTGTATGTTTTTATAATAAAATTTTAATAAAAAGTATAACAATTTTAGGGTATGTTTAGGTGTATCAAAAAAGTAAGTGCAGGAGTATCAAAAATATAAGTTTTGTATCTGTAAGATCTGTTCGTAGATCCTGCGAATTTGGTAACAAGAGGGACCGTTCTGAGTATGCTCCGAGTTTGCAGATCATTACACAAGTGATTCAATTGATTTAAATTTTTTTTTATATGTGTTACAATACTTTTTTCAAAAGCTCAGGTAGATTATCTCATCTTTAAAGCAGGCCAAATGTTCTAAGTCAACTTGAAGTTTTTGTACTATTCTTTAACAATATCGGTTAAATCCCTTTGAATCCCTCACCCTTCATATTATATTTCACCTACCAAAGTTACAAGTGATTAACAATCACTACGTTGGG